TCGGTTACCTCTGTCTGCAACAGCAACATGTGGAAGTTGGAGATAGATTGTCTGTTGATGCCCAGGAACTCCAATTTACTAGTCAGAGTATTTGCCAGCTCTCCGATCTGAAACTGCCAGGGAGAAAGGGAAGAGTAAAGAGCTGCCCTTGGGTAGCGGCCCCGTGGCTCGAGGCCTTCCCCGGCAAACAGGACTTGGGACCGCCTGCAGCCCCTCAGCCTGGTGGGACTGGGATGTGCCACCCCAAAACGTGTGCACCTGTCACCCCCTCCTTTAAGCCCCACTAACTCCTGCGTCCCAGGGATGGGGTTGGCGTGGGGTGGCAGGATGAGACCTCCTCTGCCACCATGGGAGGTGCCAGGGAACCCTAACTCCTCCGTGTGGGCCCTTCCCTGCTCCCAGCCACAGCCGCTGGTGCTTCTCAGCATGGTCACCGCTCGGCACCAGCTGAAGGAAGGTACGGGCTTGTTCTGCTTCAGCACCCTGGCTCTGGAGTTACGGCAGAGCAATCGCCAGGGCAGAAAGTGTTATAAATATAATACTTCAACCATTTCCCAAAGGAAATGGGCCAGGATACAATTTCAGACTTCGTCCATCGCCACTTTCCAGAGAAACTAGCTGGGAAGAGCAGGATAGGGGTAACAGCTCTGGATTTACTCCTGAGCATCATCTACGTTAAGATTCAGGCCAGTCTGCAGCGACCACCATTACTCAACCCCAGTGTCCCACGGGAGCGAAACCTCCAATTTGGGCACTGCATGGGGACACGGGGATCCCCCGTTGTCAATCCCTCTGACCGAGGGGACTGCATGAAAGCAGCTACGAACCAGAAAGCCATCAAGAGCAGAAACGGGGCAGATGCCTGCAAGCGGCATCACGATTGCTTTAAGGAGGGCTCTAAAAATTTCTTTTTTCCTTCACTCTTCACAAGGAGCTTTGGAAGGTCCCCAAAGCCAAGAACGCAGTGGCTGTCTCTAGAGAGGGGGGCGGGCCAGACAGACAAGCAGCGCTAAAGAAGCCCGAGGCAGGGAAATGAGTTCCCGCCTTAATGCAGCTACGTAGAAGCCAGGGAAGATCCCACAGCAGAGGGTGACTTCGCAGCGGAGGACTCGGTGGATCTCCTGCAAACCAAAGAGCCAGCAGAAGAGAGATTACCCCGAACCGATGAAGCAAACGGTACCAATTACCCCAGGAAAAAAAAACTCTAAAGGGATCCTGCATGGGAAAGCACCACGCTACAGCACTCAATCCGTCACAGAGCACCGCCAGGACCAGGAGAAAAGGGGACAGCAAACGTGACAACTTAAAAGGCTTTGGGCAGCCCCCTGGGGCGCAGCAGCCAAGGAGTGTGGCCCTGCTGCAGGCTTTTTTTCTTTTTTTTTTAATTTTAAATTCAATTTAGACATCAGACAAGCCTCATGTAGATGCTATACTGAGGGAGGGCTCAGTGGCTTTGGACAGGGAACATCACATCTCAAAACTCTGCTAAAGTTTTACGGGAGATGCTAAATCTGTCACAAGGACAGTAACAAAGCCCTTCCCTCGCACACCAGAAAAATGATTAAGTGATGGGAAATGAGGGCAGGACCGGAGGTCAGTTTTCGCTGCAGGTTTCCACAGGGCTTCTACCAGGAGCCGGCAATTCCCGATCCGTAAACCATCTGGCACAGGGAGGTGACAACATCTGCTAACAAAACGAAATTATTCGGCAGCCAAATTTAATGCTGCAGGAGATCGCACGGTAACAAGCGACCGGGGAATCAAAAGGAAAAGTAAACAAGATCTCCCCTACCACTCTGCATAACTGTCACCCAGAGCCTGTAGCTCCACGTGCCACTACTACAGCTCAGGAAGGGGCTCTGGGAATCGTTCAGCTGCAGCCAAAAAGAGCAAAACCAAGGCTCGGAAGAGAAAGTAGCAGCATGATGCTGCAGAAATCCCCAGGGCTTCCCCAACTTGACACTAACAACTTCAAAAAGCAATGCTGGGCGAAGGACTGAGTGAGAGGTACCGGCAGCCTCCAGACACAGAGAGGTTACGGACGAGGAGTCTTCAGCCTGGAAACGGGCAGGTGCCAACGGACTGCAATATCATTATTGGTGAAAAGAAAGTCAAGACAAAAGTGTTTGCTCTCTCTCACAACCAGACCCAGGGCTCAGTCTTCATCCCCCCCACACCCCCTTTATTTTTATTTTTATTTTCATAACACTTGGGAGGCTTTGCTGCTGGCTCCTGCTGGAGACAAGACACCGGGCTGCAGAGACACCGGCCCAAGCCTGCAGGGCTGTGCTTTAACAGGGCCAGGGCAAGCTGCTCTTGCAGCTGTACTAGGATCTGAGGTTTACAGCTTCAGCAGGGGTACGGTGCTGCCCCGCCGGCAGCGCAGGAGGCAGGCAAGGTCTCTCCAGTCGGGCCAAACCCACAGCCCAAAGCTCAGGTGTCCCCAGCACGTCCCTCCGCACTGCCGGCAGCATGGCGAGCCCCTGGGAGAGCAGCGAACCGGCCAGGGCCTGGGGGAGCTGCTGAGCGCCCAGCTATGTCCCTTACGTGAGCTGGGACAGATCTCACCAACACACACCTCTGCATCTCCATACCTTTAGGTCCTGCTCCTCCTCTTCTATTTTTGGTGCCCCCTGGGCTTTTGCTTTCTCCTGGGGCTCCTCAGACTCCATCTCTTTGTCTGAATTTGCATCAGCTGCTTCTGTGCTCACTGCTGCAGGGGAAGAAACAACAGGTCAGCGCTTCTCCCACCATTGCCACGGCGCTGCCAACAGCCGGCTGGAGACACCGTGCCGGGGAGCCAAAGCTGCTGCAGGAGAGGGCAGGGGAA